TAAGTTTTTAGCATTGAAGGAAGAAAAAGGTGGTGAATAGACAATCCACCTTAGCTGACACGTCATCTCCACTAACGTCGTTTGGCAATATTTGACATAAAGGACTACTTTGATTCTGTTAGACAACGTAAAGGACCAACTTGGACCTTTTAAAAGAAAGAGGACCAAGATGGACCCAGAGGCATATGTAAGGGACTAAAAAGGGTATTAAGACTAAATAAAATTGAATTGCTTAGAATTTTAAATTCCTTAAAAAAATTCAATTACCTCATCCGAACACACTATATGTGATATAAAGAAAGGAAGCATGTATCAAGATTGTAGTAACCAAAAATCAATTTGGAAGTTGACGAGGGTTGGTGGCAAAAAACTCATGTGGTGGTGCGGCAGACAATTCAATCCATTGGAGCTCGGGTATAGTTTTCTCAATTCACGTGTATTGGACTTCCTTGATTTTTTAGTTCGTGAATTCATTTGTTAATGAGTTGAGTTTTAGGATTGTTATGCATCGGTTGAATTTCTACAATTATAAATATATATTATTATAATTTTTATCTTTACAACCTCAAGAACTTTAAGGTCGAAGACATGGATAAGAGTTTGAGAGTCCTAGTGACAATCTTAGAAAGACAATAATAAAATTTTAAGAGTGTGTTATGAGAATTTGGGAACCCCTTAGAGATATCTAAGGAAAATTGGGAAACACTTCTGAACACCTTGGGGTCGCGTGATCATATATAGAACTTGTGAGATTGAAAAATACTTATGTAGAAAGTAGAGTTTTGTCGCAACTGCGAAAAGGGCCAGCGGAAACAAATAGAAGAGTCGCCACCGAAAGTTATTTATCCCAAAGACAGGGAAAGAAAACGATCGAAGAAAACCTGGAGAACGGGAGAAGACAAGGTCATTGCAACCAAATCTTGGGTTTGGGAGTCGGTTACGCGAGGGGAAGGTATGAGCACCCCTCACGTCCGTTGTACTCAACGGGATCCACGCTTGTTGTCTATCAAAAGGGGTGAGTTATCTAAAAGCTACTACTAAACCGGGGATGAAAGGGAGAGAACAAACTCGATAGGACATCGCCACCCTATGCCTACGTATTCCCTCGTGCAATGGGAAAGTCAGAGTCAACGTAGTTCGAAAAACTACGGGTGATGGGGGGAAGGTTGCTCGCCAAGACATCGTCGCCTTGTGCCTACATATCCTCATCTGGTATGAGAAATTAGAGCAAATGTAGTTCAGGTGAACTAGACCACTGGTTGGTTAAGTGTTTTTTATGAGTAACGTTAAGTTCCCATTCCAGCAGTTAGGGTCGATGCTTGTTTGCGGTAGAACGGGAAAAAATAATGTACTTTTTTCTGAAAATGGTTTGAAGAACAATCTCAAAGGATAAAACTAGGCACAATCCTCTCCAGCTAGACCTATTTCTTCACGTAATGACTCAGACCAAAGAGCTTTCAAGCAGTCGAACACATCCAGAGACAAAGCAACAGAACATAACTCCATCAGCAAGGAAATATCTATCAAAAAGTTTTGACACCTCTTCTCAGCTTCGTCCAAAGGGACCGCACCACCGACGTAGCCCAAATGGTCAACAAACTCTAACAATTTCCTCTTCATAAAAGAATCCTCAATGGTAAAGCCACTTTCTTTATAAACATAGGAGTCATTCTCTAAGAGAAAAATTTGCGTCGAACAATAATAGGGGAACACCAAATTACATTTACTCCCCACTTCCGACTCGACCGCACATACAGTTATGTGAGCCTCTGGGTGAAAGGGTGAAAAAAACTAACTGGCATATGAAGGAAGGAGGTTTTACAAAAATGTTGAAAATCCATATTGTTGGCACCAAAAGAACCAAACCCCCTCCCCTTGGCTGGGACAAAGTACCTCGGTCGCAGCTAAAAAGATGAAAGAATAAGATAGTAGAAGTTTTTCCCTTCATATACTCACACCAATGGTGATAACCTTTAACATATTCCCAACTGGTGGGATGAAGTTGAGATGGAACCACCATAAAATAGTTGAGAACACCCACGTCGAAAGTAGTAAAGGGAAAACGAACCCCCAAAAACAAAAAGAGATACTCATAAAAAGGAATGGTATAATTACCATATTCGTTACAAATTTTGTCTTCATCTCCAGGGATGGGAAGCCCCTAAGGCGAGAGTTCACCAACATTAGGGAAAACCCCATCCAAGTTCCCATCTTTAGTAAAAACTGGGACAATCAAAGAAAATACAGAACCTTCCTATCGAGAAGAGGGGTTCACCATGTTCTTTTTTATGATCTTCTGAGATCTCTTTGTCATGGTACGGTAGTTAATTCAAGAACAAGAAATAGACACTTTTGAGAAAGAAGAAAGACAAACATTTCAAAGAGAGAGACTGCTTGATTCATCTTGAAAATGCCCAACATACTAAGAACTTATTTTGAAAAGAAAAGGTTCATATTAAATGGCTTTTAGACAGGGACATAAATACTAAGTTTTCTCATAGGATGACTAACATTAAACATGCTATAAAATTCATTCCTACTATGAAAATCTAAGGCACTTTCATTTCTGACCAGAAAGTCCTTGGAGATCATGTTACTAATTACTTTAAGAAGCTCTTTTCCAACCTAAATTTCATAACTCCAAACTTTAACCTTATAAATTCCTACATCCCTAAGTTGATCCTTAAGGAGATTAACATTATGCTTAATAGAACTCATAACATCTTGGAAATAAAAAATGAAGTCTCCACCCTTAACAAATATGAAGCTCATGGGACTAATGGTTTTGGTGTCTCCTTCTTCCAACTTTATTGGGATGTGATCAACCTTGATGTCTCTGCTGCTGTGACTCAATTCTTCCATTCTTTATGGATTTTTCCCAACTACAACTCCAATATCCCTAGTCTGCTTCTTAAAACTCCAAATTATGATTCAATTGATCTCTTTAGGCCTATAACACTTGCAAACTTCAAGTTCAAAATTATTTCCAAAGTGTTTGCATATAAATTGGCTTCCATAATTCTTATCATTATTTCTAATGAGAAAAAATGGTTTGTCAAGGGCAGGAGTATTAAGGATTATATTGGTTTAACCTTATAAGCCATTAGCTTACTCCACAAGAAATCTCATGGTGGAAACATTGGAATGAAACTAGACTTCACAAAAGCTTTTAAGTCTCTTAAATAGGTGTTCTTGATGTAGGTACTCATGGCTTTTGGCATCAATGATAAGTTTAACAACTAGATTTGGACTATTTTTGAGTCCTTTATGATTTCTGTATCCTTTAATGGAAATATCAATGACTTTTTCAATTGTGAGGGAGGTGTTTGGCAGGGTGACCCTCTCTCACCATTCTTATTTTGTATTGCTGATGAAGTCCTTAGAAGAAGTATTTCCTTGCTTATGGAGCAAGGAAGAGTCAAAACCGTTCTTGGCCCTAGGAGCTTTGTGATACCCTCTCATTGCTTATATGCAGATGATGTTATGATCTTCTGCAAAGGAAAAAAAAGACTCATTTGAGCCCTGATTAGTTTATTTCAAAGATACTCCAATGCTTATGGACAGTTTGTGAACCCTTCTAAATCTCATATTTTCTCAGGCTCTATGAATGACTCATGACTTCATTGCATTTCTATGTTGCTTGGTTTCAAAACTCATATGCTTCCTTTCTCTTATCTTGGCATTCCAATTTTCAAAGGGATGCCTAAGGCTACCTACTTTAGGCCTTTGTGGATACAATCAAAACTAAATTGGCACACTAGAAGTCTTTTATTCTTTCTTTTTCTAGCTGAGTTCAGTTAGTAAAATCCAATATTCAAACTATGTTTATACATAGTTTTTCTGCTACTCTTAGCCCGTTACCTTATAGTTCGTCACAATCTTCTTTCCACTAATGATAATCTTCTTAAGAGGGGTTGTATTGGTCCCTCTTGTTGCAGTCTCTGCTACTTCCATGATGAAATTGTCTCTCGTTTGTTTTTCCAATGTCCTTTTGCTCAACAAATTTGGCATTGGTTCATTTCCATGATTAGAATCCCTATACCTTTGGATGTATTTGAAGATCTGAAAATCTGCAACAAAAACTGGAGTAAGCACTATAAAGTTATAATCCAAGCAACCATAATTTCTATCTTAAACATAATTAGGACTGTTAGAAACAACATGAAATTCAAGAATTGCAAAATGCACTGGAAGTAGGCTCTGAGTTTGATACAATTTGAGGTTTCTTTCATTGGTAACAACACGAGGAAAGTTGCACATTCTTTAATCCATGACTTCACCATAACCAAAACCTTCAAAGTTTACTTAAATCCTCCAAAGGCTCTTAGGACTGTGGAGGCGGCCTAGCTTCCTCATACTAGGAGATGGTTAAAATGCAACGCTAATGGATAATATGCTAATTCTCTGGCTAGTTGTGGAGGTCTCTTCATAATGACTGTGGTGATTTCTTATCTAGTTTCTCTGAGTTGGTTGAGGGGAGTTCATCTCTTCATGTAGAGCTTTTAGGTGTTGTGAAAGCAATTGAATATGTCTATCAATTTGGTTGGGCTAAACTTTGGTTGAAAACAGATTCAAAGTTGGTCCTTCTTACAACTCAAGACCGCAAAATTATCCCTTAGTTCAATGCTATGGCGAAAACAAGATTGATGAATTTTCACATCAGTCATACTTATATAAAAGAGAATCAATGCGTGAACATTCTCCTCCGCCTTGATCCCTCTTTAGTTTGGAATTAACTTTATGGTAACAAGTTAGGTTTATCAAAAAAAAATTTATTAACTTAAAAAATACACACTAAAATATTTGTGCGAGTAATAATACAATTTATTTTCACAAAATAAAAATAAAGAAAGAGCAAATGAGCAGTATGAGTGGGAGCCTGATCAATTCAGTTAACGAAGCCTTCGAAGTTGCAGACCATGTCCTGAGATTTCAACATTCTTCATTTGACCTTTCTTCTCTAAAACAGAGATTCAAACTTCATTCGTATACTCTGCAACATGGCCTGCACTTGCATCTCCTCTTCCCTTTTCACTCCTCTTCAACTCCGCCACCGTCCACCGTCGCCCTCACATTTCCCCGCCGCCACTTTTCACTCTTTTCCGTTCATTAAACTAAACCCTTCTCACCCTTTTCGCCTTTCAGCCCTTCCCCTCTTCTCACAACCCACCGGCGGCAACAACAACAGTAACTACAATGGTGGTAGCGGCGGCGGTGGTTCCTGGGGTTACCCTTTTAACTCCGACGATTCTTCCTCTTCAGGTTCTCGTTACACCCTTTTCCTTGCCTTGCTACTCTCTTCCGTTACTTTTTGTTTCTGCCAACACCTTCTCGCTAAATTCGCAATGGCCAATAACAGTAATTCTACATCATCTTCCATTGATAATGAAATTTTGACCCAATCCATTTGGGAAGTGAAAGGTGGAAACTTGATCAAGCTTTTCCCTGATCATTTAAACGACATTTTCATTGCTTCAAATCCCGGCTTGTTTTCTGAACTATCATCCCTTAAACCTCCACAAGTTCCAAGCTTTCTGTACAACAAATGCAGGGAGTTCTTGGTGAGGTTGATGCTCCCTGAAGGTTTTCCAAACAGTGTGACGAGTGATTATTTGGAGTATTCATTGTGGAGAGGAGTTCAAGGTGTTGCATGTCAGGTTAGTGGAGTGTTGGCAACTCAAGCTCTGCTTTATGCTGTTGGATTAGGAAAAGGGGCTATTCCAACTGCTGCTGCTATCAATTGGGTGCTTAAAGATGGAATTGGGTATCTCAGTAAGATTTTGTTGTCTGATTTCGGTCGCCATTTTGATGTTAATCCTAAAGGGTGGAGATTGTTTGCCGATCTTCTTGAAAATACTGCTTTTGGCTTGGAGATGTGTACTCCTGCTTTTCCTCATTTGTTTGTACCTATTGGTGCTTTTGCTGGTGCTTCTCGCTCTGCTGCTTCTTTGATTCAGGTGATGATGACAGTTTTCATTGTATATGAACCTCTAGAAGCTTATCTAACAATTGATTTTACTATTCGTTTGAATAGTCAATTAAGCCCATTTAAGGGTAGTCTCGTGTGTTTGATTCCGCGGTGACAAAAATTGATTTGACTGAATTGATTCTGTGAATTTGATTTTGGTTGAAAGTGAGTTGAACGTAAATGGATTTATGTTTGGATCAGAATTACTTGTTTGTATATGTCAATAAATTTGATATGAATCCTATGTCACCGAAGCTAGAAATATTAGGTCTATCGAATTGATTTTGGGACTGAAATCAATTCTAAGCCCAGCCAAACATAACAATTTATGATCAAATCACGCTTGATTAACCCAAATGTGATTTCGAGAGGTACAAACTAGGAACCATACACAAGCTAAGTAAATAAAAGACATTGCAAATAAGTGTCAGTATGATAATATGTAAAAAATGCTTGTCAGCCAACCATTGAGTTGAGGGGTTTCGGTCCTTTGAATTTCACACCATTCATAATAGGACATGTATGTTATGTTCCATTTGGTTTTAACATGTCTATCAACTGATTTTGGTATGTGTTTGGATAGTCAATTAAGCCTGTTTAAGGTAGTTTTGTTCAGTTGATTCCGTGGTGACAAAAGTTTGTTTGACTGAATTGATTATGTGAATTTGAGTTTGGTTGAAAGTGAGTTGACCAGAAATGGATTTATGTTTGGATAGTTTGGATAAAAATTGCCTGTGTGTATATGTCAATAAACTTGATAATGAATTCTGTCACTGAAGCTAGAAATATTAGCTCTGTCGAATTGATTTTGGGACTGAAATCAATTCTAAGTCCAGCTCCCGCCAAACATAACAATTTATGATCAAATCACGTTTAACTAACCCAAACGTGATTTTGAGAGGTACAAACTAGGAACCATACACAGCTTAGTAAATACGAAAGACATTGCAATTAAGTGTCAGTATGATAATATGTGAAAAATGCTTGTTAACCAACCATTGAATTGAATGGTTTCGGCCCTTTGAGTTTCACACCATTCATAACAGGACATTTATGTTATACTCTGTGCCTAATCCTGTTCTTTTTCATTTTTAAAATAAATACAATAGGACATGTATGTTATGTTCACTTCTGTTTTCACATGTCTATCGAACTTAACCGTAGTGTTCCTAGAATGATTTAATGAAAGCTAACACCAAACACTCTGCCTTATGATCGTGGTGGGTGAAAATTTAAGTAAAAAATATATCTTTTTGTCTATTTGGCAATTGGCACCAATAGGTAACTTCTGTTCCTTTGCCAAATTTATTTACAAATTGAATATGAATATTGAAAAATTTAGGTATTTTAACATCAAAATTAAAGTTAAAGCAAATTTTCTCTTCACAGGCTTCTACAAGGAGCTGTTTCTTTGCTGGTTTTGCAGCTCAAAGGAATTTTGCTGAGGTGAGCTTTGCACTTCGACTAAGTTAGATTTTTTATTTAATAGGTAACTTCTGTTCCTTTGCCAAATTTATTTACTACTTGTGGCATGAATAACGTAATATATGTTTCTTTTACTTGTATGTATTATTTTCTCTCTGAAAAACAACTATAAATTATAGGTAATTGCTAAAGGTGAAGTTCAAGGAATGGCAAGCAGATTTATTGGTATCGGGCTTGGTATAGGTCTGGGTAACTGCATAGGCTCTTCTACACCTCTTGTTCTTGCTTCTTTTTGCGTCGTGACATGGATCCACATGTACTCCAATCTAAAGTCTTACCAGTCCATTCAGATACGGACTTTAAATCCTTATCGTGCAAGTAATTTCCAATCTCTCTCTTAAATCTCTCAACCAATTTTGAGAAGCTATGTTATGTTACTCTTAAAAAGAATTATGTTGTAAATACAAGTTAAAAATGCTGTCTATGATAGACCTAAAATGGCTTCATCCTTCGGTGGACCTTGCCATGGAAGGAGACTTATAACAAATACCAGGCTGCCCTTATAGAATGTTGAAGTTCTTATAGGTTGCAATTGGGTAGCAGTTTTAAAAAACCTTTTTTTAATCAATTGTAGGAAGAGTTGGAATCTAGAAATGCTACTCGTGTTCGATTCGTTTGTTAAAAGGTCAAACTTTATATTCCTTGTTTATTTATTATTTTACCAGGTTTGGTTTTCAGTGAATATCTACTGAGTGGTCAGGCTCCTCCTGTTAAAGAGGTCAATGCCGAGGAACCACTATTTCCAGCTGTACCCATATTAAATGCATATTTTGCAACCAAAGTGAGTTAATATTTCTTCTGTTCTAGTTAATATGAATTTAAATCATTAAAACAATGATCCTATCTTCAAGATTAGAAATTTGCTACCACAATTTGCATGCAAAGTTTGATTTGATTTCATATTGTAACAAGAGGGTCTAATCCTGGAAGTATTGGACACGAAACATGTGGGAAAGTATTAAAAATGATTAGTATTTTGTTTTGTACGATGTGTTACTTAAGGCTTCACTTTCTTAATAGGCACAACCAATTGTCTTATCATCTGAAGCCAAGGATGCAGCTGTAGAAATTGAAAGCCGTCTGCAGCTTGGATCAAAACTCAGTGAAATTATCAAGAATAAGGAGGAAGTGCTTGCTCTCTTTTCACTTTATAAAAATGAAGGCTACCTTTTGTCTGAGCATATGGGAAAATTCTGTGTAAGTTAACAGCCATTTTCATTTTCAACATGAGAGGCAACTATAGCAACAAACATTTTCTATTGTGTTTCATGAGTCATAACTATAACATGTTCCTGATTCAGGTGGTACTTAAAGAAAGTTGTTCACAGCAGGATATGCTGAAGGCATTGTTTCAGGTCAACTATCTTTATTGGTTAGAGAAGAATGCGGGAATTGAAGGAAGAGGATCTCTTTATGACTGCAAACCTGGCGGGAGGCTGCAGTTATCTCTAGATTATGCAGAAAGGGAATTTGATCATGTTAGAAATGATGGAGAGTCAGTTGGTTGGATCACAGACGGACTTATTGCTAGGCCTCTGCCTAATAGAATTCGACCGGGCAACACGGAGTGAGTTCCTGATATGGTGAATGGCTGGTGGTTTCTCGTACCCTACCACTTGCTGCATTGTTTTTCACGAGAAATCAAGTTGTACCTAAAATGTATAGGTCCTAGACATCTGTGACGAGCGCATTGATTGGTACTTTCCCATTGTTGTTGACAAGCCCATTCCACGGTGCAATGCAGGTAGACAACTACAAATTGTTGAAGCCACAAGGTGTGACTAAAACCACGAGCCAAATTGCCAATTCACTCGCCTTTTGTCAATGTCGGTGAAAGGACTGAACATACATAATTGGGAAAAATAATACAACACAGATTTTACGCGCAAGAGATTGTATCCAACACACAGTTTGAAGTTGTTTAGAGTTTGAGATGTACAACGAAAAGTTAAATTTTGCTAGCTGTAGAACTAAATTTGTATAGCTTGCACAAAATCTCAGACAAAATTGATGTTATTTGACCAATATATACATTGCCTTTGTGCCACAAATGACACACATGCCAGCATGCCATTTTACTAAAAATAAGCAGGAGATTAACACCTTACAAAAGATAACAATAACTATATGAAAGTTGTTAAAGCAAAAACTGTTATCTCTCGACATTTCACGTAATCACCTTCGGTTAATAGATAGATATGCAGGACATTAGATGTAAATGTACGAGTTCAAACTTGCGATATTTCACGTAATCAACCGTTAATTACTTAACCAAAAAAATTCCAAGACTTAATTGGAATAAGATAAGTGCTTTGCTAGAGTAGTGATCAAAAGAGCATAAAATAATGTCTACAATAAAGGAGAAGATAGAAGAGCTATGGAGAGAAGTTAGAGAGGTAAGTTTAGGAAGCAATGGAAGTATAGAAAGATTAGAATCACCACCAACACCACTTCAATTCCTCAAAAACTTCATCAACCCAAACAAACCCTGCATCATCTCCAACTCCATCAACCACTGGCCAGCTCTCTCTTCATGGACCAACCCTTCTTACCTCACTCAAACCCTATCTTCCTCCACCGTCTCCCTCCACCTCACTCCCACCGGCGCCGCCGACTCCATTACCTCTCTCCCCTCCTCTTCCTCCATCTGCTTCGCCTCCGCGCATGTCGAGCGCGTCCCGTTCCCCGACGCGCTTCGCCTCATCAACTCCTCTGACCCGTCGAAATGCGTTGCGTACGCGCAGCAGCAAAATGATTGTTTTCGTTCCGAGTATTCTTCTCTTGCTGAAGACTGTGATTCTCATATTGGTTGGGCTACCGAAGCTTTTGGTTCGGAGCCAGAAGCGGTTAATCTTTGGATTGGTAACCGTCATTCGAATACTTCGTTTCATAAGGATCACTATGAGAATCTCTATGCTGTTGTTACTGGCGAGAAACGGTTTCTCTTGTTTCCTCCTACTGATGTTCATCGCTTCTACATTCGTCACTATCCTGCTGCTACTTACAAACACTCTCTGGTATTTGCTTTTTTTTTTAATCAATTAATTTCTTCACTTTTTTGTTTAATAAATTAATTTTCTTGTTGATTTCATGGGGTGTGTAGCATTGAGGACTATTCGGATGACTTAGTTGAACTTATTTGCACTTGTGAGACCACATGAGAGAACTTGTGAAAATAGCTTATTCACTTACTTTAAACTTTGATTCAGCTTTATCTTTTATTGTAAAAATAGCTTATATCTAAGCACTTACTCATATACTAATAAGCACTAATAATAATGGGGTTTGTGCGTGTTTGAATTGACTTAATTGAAGTTATCTACTAAAATAAGCACTTGTGACAACTGATTGATAGAAAAAAAAACCTAATCAGATGTCATAAGCTCTCTATGATAGCACATGAAAACAACTTATAGTTTATGTTAAGACAATTTGACTTTTTATTATAAAAATAGATTATACATAAACACTTATATGCTTAGGTGTTTATTACTATGTTATAAGCGCTGAATTAAGTTCTTTATGCTGTAGGAAACTGGAGAGTTTGATTTGGAACTTGACAAGCCGACTAGGTATGTGCCTTGGTGTAGTGTGGACCCTTTCCCTTTGCCGGAGAATTTGGAGGACGAGATTTCAAAGTTTCCTTTATACTTCAATGGCCCTCCACCCTTTGAGTGTACTGTCAAGGCTGGGGAGATTCTCTACTTGTATGCTTCCTTTCTTTTGCCGTGCATTAAATCATGTATATGTGCTATTTTTTTAATCTTTCTTCTGTTGGATGGTAATGGAATACTAATCTCACACGCTCATGATGCATTGTACTTTTCTGTTATTCCATATTCTCTAACACTATTGAACTTGATGGATGCAATTATTATTTCAGCGGTTTTCACTAGTTTATTGAAAGATTCAATGGAAACTTTTGATTTCTGTTAATCATATATTTGTTAAGAATAGGAATCAAACTGAAGGGTATAGACTTAGCCACAGTTCCTGCACTCTGTAATTTACATATGACCAATCATTCGTTACTTCTATTTACTAAAGAAGTGTGTGAATTCTGTTAGCTATAGCCTATAATGGTAACGACCTGAGTAACGCATATTAAGCATTCTTTCTGAATTTCGATGTTGCATACCCAGGCCATAACATGATATCATCACTCTTAGACAGCCATACAACATTTACTTAGTGATTCTGTTCCATCATTTTTGCCATATAGCATAACAAGTAAATGTATGAAATTGATATCTTGAATCATTTTGAGTGTCCTTTATGTATATGGTAATGCTGGTAATGATAGAATGGAATGAATGCAGGCCAAGCATGTGGTTCCATCATGTTAGACAAAGTGGGGAGGATGGAGAGTTAACTATCGCAGTAAACTATTGTAAGGATCAGTCCTTGTATTTTCTGGTCCATATCCAACACTAATAAGAGATTCTGATACAAGTTTTATTTTATGCAGGGTATGATATGCAGTTTGACATTAAATATGCTTATTTCAACTTTTTACAATCTATTGATTGCCGATCTCCTACGAGTCCAATGATGCCTGATAAATTGTGTGAGGAAATAGATTCAGGTCCTGATAATGATGACATTAGATGAGTTCTCATTCTCAGCTGGTGATATTAGGCGATATGGGGGATTTAAGCGAATGCTGAAGACCAAAAAAGTCAAGGCTGCGTAGCAAACACAAAAGCCAAGTGCAAACACAATTTTGTTCTGTTCTTTATTTGTACTATATGATATATATTCACCCCATTACCCTTTTCCCTTCTGGTGGGAGTGTTGTTATAGTTCTGTTGGAGGAAATTGTCCTAAAAGGGCCAACATAAACATCTACATTATTTGTGCAAACTCATTGTTTTAGCCATTTGTATTTATACAATATCTATTCACCCATTACCTTTAATTTCTCCCCTATTTCTGTTTGTGTTAAGTATGTGTTTATTTGACAAATTTTGTCTCATGTTTTCTAACTAATACTCATAATTACTTGTGATGGAGTTTCAGGGAAATGTTGGATTACTTGTGTAATAAAGATAGAGAAGAGCATGAATTGAGAAAAAAAAATTAGGATTTATGTAGAGAGATTAAATTTAAGCTTAAATACAATTTTGTCATTCTATTTTCTGCCACTCACAATTTTGTTTACTAATTTCTAAATCAATTATTTTGGTCCTTTTCTTAAATGTTTCATGTTTTTTCTACCTACGTATTTTTGAAATTGAATTGTGAAGATATGATAAATGCAATGTTTTTGGGACGTAAATAAGTAGTTTGCGGATTTTAAAGATTTATAATGTTACACTCTAACATTTAAGTTAGTGAAACTTAAGAGAAATAATTTTAAAATTCGAATGAGATAAAACTCTAATTAACGCACCCTTGATGAAATTCATATATGTCACGTGGGTGAAAAGTTTCGGTCCTAACCCTCAAGTATTCTCTACTGTTAAATATGATTGGACAACTTGTAACACCCTTCTAAACCCCACGGAAAAATATACGAATAATCAGAGTAATATTTCATGTATTCACAAAAGGGCGTCACACATAACTTTTCAAAACATCAAAACACCTGTCATGCTCATTAACACTTATAATAAATAATCATGTTTCTCACAATTTCACTTTGCATGTAGCAGCGGATTCATTTTATAGCATAATTCTCTTAACAGAATACTCAGATTCATCACATACTTCAACGTTACTTAGGCACTAAGGCCAACATCATAATATTCCAATGAATACAAAAACATAACATAGAGTACATAAAGTATCTCTAAAACATAAACCAACGATCCCCGTGTTACATGACTAGAGCATGACTCGACCCAACATAATTAAATTACTAAACATCTACACCAATAGCGACTTCGCAACTACAAGCAGCTCTACTCTTGATACCTGCACGATGCCAGATAGGACATCATTCCAGCAGAAGGGTGAGAAATATTATCATAATAATCAATACATATAATTATATATATCTACAATCATAGCATACACATATTCCACATTCTCACCACATTCATTAAAATTCACATATACATCACAATGTATATACACAAAACTAAGCATGTTCATCATTCATGCTTCTACAATTCACATCATTTACACATAAACATTTACAATTATGTTTATTCACCAATCACAATCATAATGATGATAAATGCAACTCATAGAGACTGACTCACGACTCTATGCAGATGCAAATGCGGTACCGACTCATTCAACAGGTTTAATTGAAGAACCAAATGGAACCATCGCTCGTTACCGAAGTAACTCCCCGCCGGGCCTACGATGTTCACCCATCCCTCACACCCCACATGGGCACACGATGTTTCAGGATTGCTCACACCCCACACGGGCACACAATCCGATCACTCACACCACACACGGGCACATGATCTGATCGCTCACACCCCATATGGGCACATGATCTGATTGCTCACACCCCACACGGGCGCACAATCATTCAGCAGATTCTACGCAAAATCAATAAGCACAAGAATGTATATCATGATGCTTCACATGCAAAATGACTCCATACACTTCTTGA